CTCTTATTTAGCATGCAAATGGTTTTGAACTTGTGATGAAAGTCTCAAAAAATTCTATTACCTTAATTTTTAGGGATAATTGGCTATATAACAAAAAAAAAATTGTATCTTAAAAACTAGCCAAATTCCTCTTATGTGACAATATTGTAGCCATTAGATATAGGTCTTTTAGTTAGTGAAGCTTGGAGTTTATGTCTAAACATACTAATCGACTTGGACTAAATAGTGAAGCTTGGAGTTTCGATATACATATTAGATATATGGTCGTTTGGCATCACTGCCCTAGTCCTTGCTCATGGTCATGCACCATTTGCTAAAAATCCACCCATGGAGGTGAGTTTTCTTATATATTTCACATTCATCATGTTCTGTTTTTGTTATTAGTGCTCTAATTTTATTCATTGGTCTAACTGCTAAAAAGGACATTATAAAACAGTTGCCGTAAAGACTGACAAAATAAAGATATTCTCTAAGCCTTTTAAACAGATGCTGGCAGCTTGTTTTGTTACAAAAAACCTTCCCACAGCTGCAGAACTTCTGAACCATGCATTTCTCCATAAAACTTGTTCTACTAAATCTTTCATTACCATTCTTGATGTCCTTTCTCCTCTTGGTGAGAGGCATCGACACATTGTCTTCTTGAAGAGTGAGTATATGCGAGGAATCTGTAGTTGGAATGTCGATCTCAAGTCTTTAAAGCGGCTGGAGAAACATGATACACTCGTAAGTAAAGTCATCAATAGTGTTAAATGAACAAATTTCTTTCACAATCTCAATATTTGATTGTTCCTCTTATCTTTTGGACATGTGAGAAATTGAGGAAAATTCGAGCTGTAACTAGGTCTGGGTACGAGCCGAGTACTTGCTAATTTTTAAATATTTGTAATCCGGTTTGACTTGTTCAAGTAACAGAAATTTCAGCTTGATACTTGACTCGTTCGAAGCAAGTACTTGCTATATCAAGTACTTGTCCGAAATTCTATTATTTACAAGTAACTTGACTCGGCTTGTTACTTGCCATAAT